CTGAGTAAATAAACTAGCAAATCAATGAGTAGGACACTGATTGCAAGGCATGTCAAATATCTGGGTGTGTACTGTAGTTAATATGCTTACTACTAACTGAAGTGTTTTGGGAAAGATGGAGTTGTTGTACAAGGAGAAATCCAACCCCTATCTTGGCTGTCATTTCAAGAACTGAGAGGTAAATGGATTGGTTGGAAAGAATAGTCTTTTACTGCTTTTAAATTCTGGCTATTTTTTCATAATTTAGAGCCTTGATCACTAGTTGAAGGAACAGTATATATCAAGGCTGATGTTTCTACTTAGAAATGTAAACAGTACCTGCTCAGTCATCTTTTCAATTGCAGAGATGCTTCATCTAGTTAAAGGCCACCACACCCCATCTAATATTTACACTGAATTGAGAATAAATTTGGCCAGGCTGTTTTGTTAAAATACCAATAATTTAAGGCTCAATTTCAAGTTCATATATTATAACAAAGAGGCAGTCTACTAGGGATTGAACCCAGGGTGTGTGTGTGKGGGGTGTTGTCTACCACTAAGCTACCTCCCCAGAACCTTTTTTATTTTGAGACGGGAGCTTTCTAAGTTGCTGAAGGTTTTGCTAGATTGCTAAGGCTGCCTTGAACTTGAGATCCTCCTGYCTCAGCCTCCTAAGCCTCTTCTGGGATTGCAGGCATTACAGGTGTGTGCCATCACACTGGGGGTTTGGGTTTTGAGAGCAGTAAAAATTATCTGTGCTACTGAGAATTTTACTTTGTTGGGAGAGGTTCTTATCTTTTTTCATTGTACCACTGAGCATTTTAAAATTTGAGAGTTTAACAAAGAAAAGAACCAGCTATTGGAGAGACTGAAACAAGAGGAGCACTCAAACCCACAAGTTTAAAACCAGCCTGGGAAACCCAGTAAGACCATATCTCAAACAAACAAACAAACAAACAAAAATGAAACAAAACAAGCCTGAGCTTCAGCTTTCCCATGTAAAATGGCAATTTGCTGTGATAGATAAATAAGGTATAAAAGGCACTGAAGAATAGGTTGCTCTGTGTCCGTGGGGATCAGAACAAGGCACAGTAGAAGCTATGGAGCATTTGAAGAATTTAAAATTCCTGTCTGGTGGACATGCCCCTGATCACAGTGACTAGGAAGGCTCAGGTAGGAGGATCACAAGTTTAAGGGCAACCTCAACAACACAGTGAGACCCTGTCTAATAATAAAGAATAAAAAGGACTGAGGATGTAGCTCAATGGTAAAGTATCCTGGGGTTCAATCCATAGTACCAATAGACAAATAAAGAATAGTCATTACTTGGCAACTTCTTTCAAATGTGTGGTTAAGAACAGGTAATAAATTTCCAAATCTTAGCCTAATGCAAAACACACACCAAGGAAATAAAAGCAGAATGTGACAAATATAACTAATTAATCTCGTTCCAGAGGTTGGCAGTTTTCCCTTCTGGCCCCACTCTCTAATTTCCCTATCTCATTTCAAATTTCTGAGCTTCTATCATGCCACCTCCTATATTTCTCTTCTTTTCCATCTTAGTGTATTTTATCTTCTTTTCCTGAATCAGTGGTTTTCTARCATATTGAACACTGGGTGCTGATTTTTCTTTTAGTAAGTAATTTCTTAAAAAATTATTTCTGATTGACATGTTAATTGTACATATAAATGGGGTTCAGTATGATGTTTCCACACATACACACAACTGTGTACTGATCAAATCCAACATCCCTTTATCGACCCTCTCCACCTCCCCACAACTTCCCCAATCACTATTAATCACAATTCTATTCGGGTGCACTTTTGGAAGTGGTGTACAAGTGATTAAATCCAGGGGTTCTTTATCACTGAACTACATCCCTAGTTCTTTTTATTTATTTGTTTTGAGTCACAGTCCTGCTAAGTTGCTGAGGGCTTGCTAAATTGCTGAGGCTAGCCTTAAACTTTTGGCTGAGCTGCCTTAGCCACCTGAGTTGCTGGGGTTTCAGGCCTTTGCTACTGCACTAGTCTCAAGTTCACTTTTTTTTAGCTGCCCCATGTGAGACTGTCTGGTTTACTTTACTTGGCATGTCCTCCAGTTCTATCCATTTTGTTGCAAATGACAGCATATCATTCTTTATAACTACTATTTATACATACCACATTTTATTTTTCCATATACCTGCCCATAAGGGACTATTGGGACTATTGTGAATAATAAAATAAGCATGAGTGTGCAGGTATCTGTTTTACCCATGCCATTTCCTTTGGTATATTCCCAAAAGTGGGAAAGCTGGATCATGTGGCAGATCAATTGTCAGCTTTTTGAAAAACTTCCATACTGTTTTCCATAATGACTTTTACATCTCACCTAGAGTGGTTTTTTTTTAATATTTATTTTTTCTTAGTTATTGGCGGACACAACATCTTTGTATGTGGTGCTGAGGATCTAACCTGGGCTGCATGCATTCCAGGCGAGTGCACTACCGCCTGAGCCACATCCCCAGCCCCTCACCTAGAGTGTTTAAGAGTTCTTTTTCTCTACATCCTCACTAACATTTTTTTTAATAATAGCCATTTTAAATGGCATGAGGTTGTATCTCACTAGAGTTGATTTACATTTCCCTGGTAGCAATAATATTTCCCATTTTTCAAGTATATGTTGGCCATTTGTATTTCTTCTTTTAAGAAGTGCCTATTCAGTCAGGAGTGGTGGCACACACCTGTAATCCCAAGCCAGCCTCAGCAACAGCAAGACCCTAAGCAACTCAGTGAGACCCTATCTCTAAAAAATTAAAAGGTGCCTATTCAGATCATTTGCTCATTTTTTAAATGGGATTACTTAGACTTTTTGAGGTCTTCATATATTCTGGGTATTAACCCAGAGTAGTTGGCAAGTATTTTCTCCCATTCTATACATTGTCTCTTCACTGTGATTGCTTTTTTTGGTGTGCAGCTTTTTGTTGAATGTAATGCAACTTGTCAATTTTTGCTTGTTTCCTGTGCTTTGGGTGGTCCTATTGTAACATGGACTCTTTAAAATGGGAGATTTAAAAGAGAACCCAGGACTGATTCTGTTTTGCCCTTCTGCCTTGTTCTGGGTTATTTCTCCAGTTTATCTCAAGTTCCAGGAACACTGAGCCTTGCAGGCAGATCATCTCATGATGGGACCCCWACTATCTCCTCAAGCAGTTACAATTTCACAGGCAGCATATCCCCAGAGCTGACCTGAGGTAATGATCAACCAGAGGTCAGTTTGACCAAGATTGCTGACTATGCATACTTCTTATCCCTCTCCTGCACTACTGTGTCTTTCCTTTATATAAACCTGGAGCTCTTGTCAGTACCTTCAAAGACAGGATTTAGGACACTAAGCTACATTCCTACTTTTTACTTTTTGTTTTCATACAGGGCTCTGCTAATTGCTAAGGATGCCCTTGAACTTGCAATCCTCCTGCCTTAGTTTCCAAAATTGCTGGAATTATAGGCCTTTGCTACTGTGCGTGGCTCCAGTCTACTTTTTTTTTTTTCTTTTTTTAGCTGTCACATATGAGAGAATATACAATACTCTCTGGAACAGCCACACTGAAATAATTCCTTTCCTACTTTACCACCACTCATCCCTCTGGCTTCTTGAGGTAGCAGGTGGCCAAATCTGGTCTGTTGGGAATCCTGCAATCCCAACCTCCCTCAAATCAGATATGGGGCATGTGCAGCTTTCACTCTTAAAGATATTTACATTTTGTAACACATTTCATACATGTGAACTAAATCTTACACTTATCAAATTGTTCCAGAAAATGGCAAAATGAGATGGCAAAATGTGTCAAAAGCTCACGAATACTTTAAGTACAGGGACAGAATAGGGACTGGTGGGAGAATAGATTTAGGTCGAGTTACAGATTGCACAGCAGAAAAGTAAGAGAGTTCTTTTCTCATAAATTCTATTTTCTCAGTGATGTCGGAAGTGAGATTACTTACCAAGAAGAGAATTGGGAAGTATAGAAATTTGAGAATAGTGCGGTTTGATGGGAAAGAGGATGAAAGAATGGACTACTAAGGAAACATAACACAGAATGCTGACATAGGATTAGAATCCAGGTTCCAGACATTCAAATCTGTGGTTTTTGTAGTTTTTGCAGTAGTGGGGATTGAACTCAGGGATGTTCTAATACTGAGCTACCTCTCCAGCCCTTAAGAAATTTTACACAGGATTTTCCTAAGTTGCAGAGGTTAGCCTTGAACTTGCAATCTTCCTGTTCTTGTATCTTTGGGTCACTGGGATTACAAGTGTGAGCCACCAAGCACTGTTAGTGCCACTTTAAATAAACCATATTAACAATGAATCACAGGCACAGTGCACATCTTTAGTYTTAGCTACTTGGAAAGCTGAGATAGAAAAATCACAAGTTGTAGGGTAGCCTGGGCAATTTAGCAAGTCCCTGTCTCAAAAATCAAAAAGGGCTAGGAATGTAGCTAAGTGGTAGAGGACTGGCCTAGCATGCAGAGGGCTGTGGATCCAATCTCCAGTACTGGGAGGAAAAATGACTACTGGGAAAAGAATATCACCCACATGGACATCAGGTAGGATTGACTAAAACAAAGGGAAGCAAAGTAAAAACTGATGCTACTAAAATAAACAGACAAACAAATTGGGTAAGAATCTTTAATTGTGTATGATAAATAACAGAAGACATTTTAAGTTACAAATGATGATACATTTTCAAAGATGTAGTGGTAAAAATACAGACAATGTACACACAAAGGAAAAAAAATCACATAACTTCTTATTTTGTATGTATTAAAAAGCTTTGGTAGGCTTCATTCATACATTTTTATCATATTGCTCTTGTACAAACATTAAAAGGAAAATAAAAGCAATATACATTCAAAGAATGATCAGCAAATATTTCCTTAAAGAAGTCATAAAGAACTAAGGTCAGAGCTGGGTGCAGTGGTGCAGGCTTGTAATCTCAGTGACTTTCGAGGCCAAGGCAGGAGGATCCCAAGTTTGAGGCCAGCTCAGCAACTTAGCAAGGCCCTAAGCAACTTAGTGAGACCCTGTCTCAAAAAGATAAAATAAAAAGGGTTAGGTGTAGCTCAGTGGTTCAGCATCCATGGGTTCAATCAATCCCTGGTACCAAAAACAACAACAAAATATTAACTTAAAGGAAATACAATGAATCAGTAATAACCTCTCCATACCTCAGTTCTTCACCTGTAAAACTGGAAGACGCTTACAGAAACTGAGTAGGGTTGTTAGGATAGCAAAACAGGTTTATCAATCTAAAGCCAACATCAGGCATGTAAGACACCATGAAAAGTGTTTTATAAGCTTCAGTACGGTAGTATTGTTTTTTGTTTGTTTTTGTGTTTAATAACTACGCCCTCCACTATTGAGATGCAATCAAAATAACAAAAACAATAGCAAAGAATCTCAAGATCTGGGGCCTGTGTCGTTAAATCAAATATCTTTTGAATTATTAGTTGGCAGTAAAATTAACAGTGGGTCAAGACTAGTAAGGGGGCAGGGGTTAGGAGGGGGGGAGAATGGAAAAAAATCAGCCGCAAGCAGCAAGTATTTTTCTTCTGAAATGTCTCATACTATAGAGGCCTGTCTGTGTGTACTTGATTAAATGCTAAAAGTATTTTGTAATGTAGACTTCAAAGAAGTTTGTAGTCCAGGCAAGTACCTGGATGTCAGTTCGACATCTGTATCTGTATTTCTCCTTAAGATACTCCAGAAGTAGTGTCAGCTCTACTTTGGGGAAAAAAAAAAATTGTTTTGGGGGATGGATCTGGGGATTGAACCCAGGGACTTTCTCCCACTGAGCTACATCTCTCCAATCCTTTTTTACTTTTGAGACAAGCTGTAACTGAGGGTCTTGCTAAATTGGTAGGCTTCATTCATCCATTTTTTAAAAATATTTTTTTTAGATGTTGATGGATCTTTATTTTATGCATTTATTTATATGGGTGCTGAGAATYGAACCCAGGACCTCACACATGCTGGGCAAGTGCTCTACCACTGAGCCACAACTCCAGCCCCCAATTCATACATTTTTATCATAYTGCTCTTCTACAAACATTAAAAGGAAAATAAAAGCAAAATACATTCAAAGAATGATCAGCAAGTATTTCCTTAAAGAAGTCATAAAGAACTAAGGTCAGAGCTGGGTGCAGTGGTGCAGAAACTGAGTTACTGAGGGTCTTGCTAAGTTGCTCAGGCTGGCCTTGGAGCTTGTCATTCTCCTGCCTCAGCCTAGTGAGTTGCTGGGATTACAGGTTTTCAATACCATGTCCAGCTTACTGTGGGACACTTTGCTAAACTCTTTTTTTTTTTTTTTTTTTGAGAGAGAGAGAGAGGGAGAGAGAATTTTAGTATTTATTTTGCAGTTTTCCGCGGACACAACATCTTTGTATGTGGTGCTGAGGATCGAACCTGGGAGGCATGCATGCCAGGCGAGCAAGCTACCGCTTGAGCCACATCCCCAGCCCTGCTAAACTCTTAAATAATAAAAAATAGGAACCTAATAAAATGATGCTAAGGAGATATCTCTTTCAATGTGTAAAATGTTTATAAATGTTTTGTCTCAACCTATTGCATTAATTTTTTGAAACATTTTCTTGTAGCATTTGAAACAGTGTTGCTCACTAGCTTTTAAAACAGTCATGCATAAATTAACTATCATCATTATCCTTAATATGTGTGAGTACCAACAGACCAACTGCGTAGGGCAGCTTTAAGGTACTGTAAATATTAACTTAATAATCATAGAGCTCGCAGCCTCTAAATAGCACATGATCATGTACACCAAATTAGTTCTGATTTTAAAAACAAAGTCTGAAACAGTACATCTTGTTAATCCTTTAAAAATGCATAATAAATATGATTCATACTTTGAATAAAGCAAAATTACATGACTTGTGATTGCTGCTTTGAATATAATCTGAAAGAAAATGAGTGTAATGACACCAAGTTGTTAGAGAAATATCTAACACATATGCTAAGTGAAATAAAAAAAATTGAACAGTTGGCAAAATTTAAGAGGTGTATTACAATCTTCCTAATATCCTGAATGTATTTTGGTAAAGGATTAATGCCACATAAACTTGCCTCTAAATTTTGTTGAATGGTCCCTGTACTAGCCTTTGTGGTATTTGAAGGCAAGAATTTGCCACAGTAACTTATTTAGTGGCCTTCAATATAAATATTTGCAGTACTTATTACATTTTAGAATTTTGTGGGGGACAGTAACCAGGGATTGAAGCCATGGGTGCTTGACACATCCCCAGCCCTTTTTCTTTTTTTATTTTATGAAAGAGTCTCATCATGTTGTTTAGAGCCTCCCAATGTTGCTGAGGCTGGCTTTGAACCTGTGATCCTCCTGTCTCAGCCTCTCAAGCCACTGGGATTATAAGCATGTGGCACCACGCTGGGCTCAACAAATACTTCTGTCAACTGTAGCAAGCTCCCCAAAATGTTCTAGGAATTTAAGTTAATAATGAATTATTTCATCAGTGTGGTGGCACATGCCTGTAATCCTAGTTACCTGGGGAGGCTGAGGCAGGAGTACCACAACTTCATGGCTGCCTAGGCAAGTTAGCAAGAACTTACCTTGTCTCAAAATCAAAACAAAAAGGGCTGGTGATGTAGTTCAGTGGTATTGTGCTTACCTGGCACATGTGAGGGCCTGAGTTCTATCACCAATATTGGGTGTGGGGGAATTCCTAATCTTAAATTTTCATGAATTTAAGAGAGATAAAAAATTTACAGTTGTGTGACATGGAACAGTAGGATTAATGATTACCAGTCTGTTTAGAAGTTGGAAGCTGCCAATGCCCAAGCTGTTTTAAAGGATGACTTAGAAAGTAAGTGGGCAAGAACATTTCCAGGCAGGCAAATTTACATAAGGCATGTATAAAGGAGAAAGATACCAGGAGATAAAACTGTAGAAATGGACTAGGGCCTAATCATGAACATTTTCCTGTGCCACTAAGAGGTTTAAATTGTATCTAGTACCCAAAAGGAAGTGAAGACTGTTAGGAAGGAAAGAGGCAGGGTTACAGTAGTCTTGGATGGAGTAAATAATGGAGACTAGCAGGGGGTCAGTACAGGTACAAATTGAGGACCTGAATAAGACATGGGGCACTGCCAACAAATGCTTATTAATAGAATGTACACCACTGTAGAACCAGGTATTGCAGAAACAGTTCATCTTTTAAAAATAGCTTATAGTCAGCAGTTCAGGCACTCAAAAGATTAAATGTGAGTTTCTTGAGATTGCAGGCATGTCAGGGAAAGACAATTCAACACTGAAGTTGAGACCTAAAGAAAAAATAGGATTTTAAAGATTTGAATTGATTTAAAGTACTTCGGGTATTTATCAGTGGGCCCTATATAATCCCTCCAGATTCCTCTTAAAGAAATTGCTTCTTTTGCTCTTACTAAAATTATACCAAAATATCTAAAATGACTAATTAGAAGAATACTTATGCAAAGATGCCAAGTGTCTTTTTTCTCATCTCACCCAGCACCTTATCTTTGTATTATTCACAGTGTGTTACAATTACCTAAGAACTTGGAAGAGAACCAAATAAATGGACAAGGACATAGGAGCACCCAAAAGGGATATAGAACAAAAGGAGATACAGCTTTGAAGGGAAGGGGGAGATATGAGACTGATATAATGGTAAATGACTTAGAAAATTCAAAACAGTTTCAGCACTCTTCATTTAGTTATGTGATGCCCCCTTCCTTGTTTATTGAGGGAGAGGACAGAGGGCATTCAGCAGGCTTGGTATGAAGCAAAATAAACATGGATTTATACTATGGACATATGTACTCACTATTAATAACATATTTCTAGCCTGGTGTGGAGGCACACTTCTGTAATCCCAGCAGCTAGGGAGGCTGAGGCAGAAGGATTGTGAGTTCAAAGCCAGCCTCAGCAACTTAATGAGGCACTAAGTAAGTCAGCGAGACCCTGTCTCTAAATAAGATACAAAAAAGGGCTGGGGATGTGGTTCAGTGGTTGAGTGCCCCTGGATTCACTCCCTAGTACCAAAAAAATAAAACAACAACAACATTTCCTTAAGATATTTACACTTATATAACAGAATCAATATTAACACATTTTAACTTATCTCTAGGAAAGAATTTCCGACATATACAACCCAAACATTTACAATGGAGGTGTAAAATAAGGTGTGAATCAGTCATTTCTGGTATTTTTTTTTTGCCAATCCTATGACTAAGAGAAAATTAAGATTAATTTTTTTTTCATAGAACTCAGACCAAGTAAACATTTTATTATTTAATAGATTGTCATGGGTGTAAGTAAAATTTTCACATCTTAAGTTGGATTGTATCTGTAATGAGGAATGTCACTGATAAACTAAGAGGAAGAACAAGTACCAATATTTTCTTTAGAGGTTTTACATTGTTGTTTTCCCATGGTTGATATATGGCCCAAATCATCCTTACGAAGTATTTTCTATGTTCTAATTACTATGGTGTGACTGATTTCTTCAGACTTGCCAGTTTACACCTTTCCCTAAGGCATAATAGCAATTTAATGCTTAATTTTCACTGCTGCTCTATTTTGCTGGAGTGATGAGATACAATTCCAGCTTTAAAAAACTGAACAAGCAACATGACACGCCAAAGATTATACAGAGATTTCTCTGCAGACAACATTTTATATGTAGTACTGCAAATTTAAAAACACAATGGTAAACACAGCCTAGCTTTATTAACTTTCAGACACCTGGTCAGTGTGGTGGAAACTGGGAATCACTAATGCTTACCAGTCAGTGGTTTTCACTATCCACCATAAATGTAAAAGACAGCAAACCTTGCTTAGTTTGGTTTCCTTTTACTGCTAGACAACTCTTAAGTTCTGGTGACATAAAGGTCTGACCTCTGAACTTTTTTAATTTAACCAGATATTCCTGGATATTACAGGAATTTTAAAAGTATTATATAATTATTCTATGCTTAACATTCACTCTTCAGATTTTAAAACGCGAGCTCTGTGGGTGGCTTCCGGTCACTGCTTGGGACTGATTATGTTCACAGAGACAGGATTCCCCTGAAACTCTCTCCCGTCCTTGAGTGTTAACCACTAACCTACTGAAGTATTCAGTACTTAAAAAGATGAAAACCTGTAGTGGTAGCGCTTACAATTCCATTCCAATCGACCGAGGGTTAATTCCCTCTGGGATGTTCTCTTTGCCTTATCAGGTCTGAACAAAAGGATGCCACCGGACCCTTGAGAAGACACTAAGGCACAGTTCCAGCGGTTGGGAGCCCTGGTGGCAGAATTACTCCACAAGGGCACAGACCTCCAGGTAACTCATGCTATCKCCTTTATCCCACCCTAGGGCTATCCTGAAAACAAGACTATGGGGGACCCCAAACTCTGGGTAGTCTCGCTCCCCACCCGCCATAGGTGAGGGAAATAACTTTTTTTAGCTGGGACTGATCCAAAATTCAGCGGGGGGGTCTGCCCTAGCTCCGGCCTACTCGCTGTACCAAAGGAAGGTCAAACTCACCTTGGGGAAGTCCGCGCCAGGACGGCGACTAGCACACACCAGCAAAAWCCTCCCAGGTCAGGGCAGGACAGCCAAGTTGCCAGGCAAGCCCAACACCACCGGAGGCGGAGCCGCCCCTTTCCCAGCAGCCTACAGACTTCCGGTCCTGCGCAAACGATAACCTACGCCTCCCGGTGCGCCCCTCCCCCGCAGCTGGCCGTTTCCCGGCGTGCTCCGCGGAGGAAGAGTCGGAGTCGACAATAACAAACCCAGCCGCGGCCGTGTCCGCGGCCCTGCTAAGCCCTCGGCACTGTTTCGGGGTCCTCGGTTGTCCGGGCCCCTCGGCTCTGACTGGCCGCGGTCCCGCTGATTCCCGGTCCCCTAACCAGAGCCGAGGGGCCTGACTGCGTCCTTTTCCGCCCTGACCCCTCCCTTCTACCAGTAGTTCGGGGCCGCGGCGGCGGCTGCGGCGGGCGGGCGGGCGCCCGGGACACCGGCGGTTGTGTCGGTTGGCAGTGCCGAATGGGCGGTTGGTAGCCGCCGCTGAGGACGAGGCGGTGGCGGAAGATGGTGCCGGGGGCCGCCGGCTCTGCTGTCTCCGGCGGAGGAGAAGGCGCTGCCGGGTAAGTGTCGCCGCCGCCCGCGTCCCCTTCCCCCATCTGGACACCACTGCCGCTCGGCGGTCCTTGGCAGTGTGGGTCGGGGGCGCTGGGTCCCTGCAGCGCAGGTGTGTTCGCCACGGTGCCCGGAGTCCGGCCCCCGCAGGTGTTGCACTGAGGCCGCCTTCCCCGCGCGTCAGCTCTCGGAGACAAAAGCGGTTCGAGTCGATGCTTCAAGGGGCCGCGGGGTGTATGGGGCTGCCTTTGGCTTCCTCAGCTAAGGTCCCCAGGGCCACTTCTCTAGAGTGCAGCTGTTCAACACCTGGTGAAATTACGGGAGTGGCCGAGGGCAAKAGAAGCCCGAACCCACCGGGATGCTGCCTCACCCTGGTCACCATAGCCAGTGCTCAGCTCTAGAGGTGTGTTGGGCTAAAGAAACCGGAGAGTGGGGTTGGGTCGAGGTGCAGAATGGGAGGAACCTAGAGATGAGGTCTTTGTCCGACCCCCTGGAGTGCGAGGATCGGTGTAAAGTTACTCCTAGGAATGACTCAGCCTCCGCCCGCCTCACTGATAGATTTGGGATGGGGTGTGTGTGCGGATTTCACAACTTCTTTGGTAGAAACAAAAATACATTTACTAACAAGAGAAGTGGCAGCTTCTGAGTGGAGTGGCAATAGTTTCTTCCGCCGGCCAGTGGATGTGCTGTGTTTTCTGTTTATGGTTTCGTAATCTAGGCTTCTCCAGTATGACTCCTAAGTGTGGTCATATCATGAAGTGGTATAGGTAGGCCTGGATGCCAAGGAACACTAATGTGCTTACCATTGAAAAAGTCACTACGGGACATGGTAATGTTCTCRTCTGCTATGAACATTAAAAAGCACCCGTTTTACTAACCTTTTTTTAAGTGTAGTTTAGAAGTTTTTGTATTGATGGGTTTGTGTCATTTACGTGAAGGCTTGGAAAGTTAGCAGTTTTAAAAAGACTTTTAAAAAGGCTTGAGTGTTCAATCAAGAATGTTATTGTACTTTGATAGTTGATAAAAAAGATAGTCCTTGCACTTGTGGTCAGATGAGAAGTGAAAGGGAATWCTGAAGGAAGTTGGCTGATTTTATTATTTGGGTTATTGGATCTGTAAGAGGACCATAACTAGGAGTGTGAAATACTTTTTGTATTTAGTGTTGTTAACGTGGCTTGAATAAACATATTTTCTCAGTAATATGCCTGTCTTTTTTTAAACGTTTATGATTGTCTACAAAACACTAGATTTATTTAATGGATGCTTTAGGTATGTTTGTTGATAAATCTCTGATGGATATTTTATATGGGCTTAGGCCATGTTTTATTTATTTATTTTTTCAGGCCGTTTCTTTGTTTGTTTAGGTACTGGGGATTAAATCCACGCATGCTTTACCACTGAGCTACATCCCAAGCCCTTTTTCTTTTTATTTTGAAACAGGGTCTCACTAAGTTGCTGAAGATGGTCTTAGGCTTGAGGCACTGCACCTGATTTCAGGCTGTGTTTTAAAATCATTTAGTCTTGTTTTAAATCTTTAATGTTAATCAAATTGAATAGTATTTTGGGGCCTGATCAAGATGTCAGTGAAGACAGTGAAACAGTACTCTTGGCTTTAAAAGTTTTTCTGGGCCTTGCTGACAAACAGCAGGTCAGAATGCATAGCAGATTGACTYTACAAATTAAATTCATGAAGGCCAAAAAGGCAGAGGACACAAGACTTATGTTTTGTTTTGCTTTTTTTTTTTGAGCAAAGGGGATCCAACCCAGGGCCTCTCACATGCTAGGCATGCACTTTACCACTGAGCCACATCCCAGCCCCAAGACCTCTTTTGAATGCCATAGTGTTAAACTTAAATTACATGTAAGTTTGAAAGATTTTTTATTTGGCTTCTAATTTAGGAATTCTCTTTAAAATTTTATTTACATTTAGCATGTATTTGAGGACTGTATGCTTTACCTTGTACACGTATATCACTTGATTATTTTTTTGGTACTGGGGGTTGAACCCAGAGGCGCTTTATTTACTACATCCAGAGTGTCCCCACCCTTTTAATACTAATATATATATGATGAGAGAGAAAGGGGTAGGGATACACCAAGAGCCTTGCTAAATTACAGAGGCTGGTCTCAAACTTGTGATCCTCCTGTCTCAGCTGTCTGAATTGCTGGGATTATTTTAGTTTCTAGAAGAAAGGCTAGTAAAATTTTTTCATTCAGGTAATAATATTCTCTTGCCCCAATTACACTGTTTTGTCAGAAATACTGGCTGAGGAAGCATAAATGAAAACCTAGCAATTCCTTTCTACCAGTATTCATGATCTTCACAAACACTCATGATTCTTTTTGTTATTTACTTACCACAGTGAAGAGACTCAATTATTAACTCTGGAATTTTTTATGGGCTATGATACTGCAGCACTGAAACAAGAAGAAAAGTTTTTAAGAAGTTGTTCCTTTGAAAAGTAAAATTGGAGTCATGTATAAAAACAACTATGGGTATTATTGGAACATCAAGGAATTTGAGCTTCTGTGGGGTTTAGGAGGAGATTTGGGGGAGGAAAAAGCATAAGGTAACATGGATAAGTCTCTTTGTCTCTATTTAAAAATTCCTAGCTATTTCAGAGTTGTGACTTACACTTATTGTGTACCTACTAGGTACTGCTCCAGAAGATGGGGATGCAACAGTGAACAAACCCAAATCCCTGTCTTCATTAAAAATAAAATGGACAGTACAATAATTGCTAAGGAGAAAAGGCAGGGATGGGAGGAATTGAGGAATGGATTTGAAACTTTAGATACTATGGCCAGTGAAGGCCTGGGTGACTGGCTTTTGATTAAAGACCCAAGAGAATTAAGGAGGGGTTAGATGCTTGTCCATCTGGGAAAAGGAATATTTTGACACAAGGAATTGTAAGTGTGAAGGCTCGGGAGATTCAAGACATATATAAGGAAAAATGGAGAGGTTTCTGAAGATGGACCAGCATGAGTGAGGGGGAAGAGTAGAAAAATGGGATTGTACAAATAATTAAGTCACAGTAAGGAAACTGTAATATACTCTAAGGGTGCATGTATAAAGGCACAGAGGTGGGTTCCAGGAAACCCAGCAAGATTTGGAAAGCAGTTGGAATCAAATTCATTCCTTCCTGAAAATTCCTGCAACACACAGCTCCAGTAATGTGCCAGTGGACTAGAGGGACTAGTTGTGTATGTGTATTTATAGGAAATAGTGAATCATTGGAAATTTGTGTAAAATGACAAATGTAGATTGCTTTGAGGTGGTAGGGTAGATAGAAGACTAGCAGATTGTGGAGTTCTAGGTTGAAGAGTGTGAACTCACTGTCAGATAAAAAAATGTAAAGGTTATTACATTTTTCTGATTCTTCATATTGGACTTAGGAAACCTGATTTGCCTATAAATTGAACCTCCATTGTCCATGGCCCTGAGACCATGGCCTTTCTTTCCATTTCTCTGTAAAATTAAGGTTCTGATAAATTAGTTTTTGCAAGTACATGCAGTACTTGAGTGTTAACAGCATCCTTTCTTTTATTGGTTAGTTTTTGCTTTCACAGCTATTCAGTGAGTGCTCTAAGGACTGTGGAATAACAATTTTTTCCTTCATCCATGATTTTGCTTTTCAAATTTTTATGCTTTATTGGTTTATAATTATGCTGATATGGAAATAATTGATCTATTTGTTTTGTTACTGACTCAATTATCCAGGTAGTCTTTCTCTTCATATTCTACACCTAACAGTTGGTCAGTAACTGTCCAGCACATCTGTTGAAATTTTAATTCAGTACCATACTACTTATCTCCATGGCCTTATGGTAACTGTTTTACTGAAGATGACAGATTTGCATATACTTCTTTTTTGCAGAGTGGGGGTGATTCTGGGGATTAACCCAGGGGCACTCAACCCCAGAGCCTCATCTCTAGCCCTTTTTATTTGTTTCAAAACAGGATATCACTAGGTTTCTAAGGGTCTCACTAAGTTGCTGAGGCTGGTCTTGAACTTGGAATCTTCCTGCCTCAGCCTCCTGAGTTGCTGAGATTACAGGTGTGCACCACTGCACTCAGTAGCACATGCTTTTTTGATATTGCTGTTTACAGGTAGTCTCAGTTTAATACAAGCTAATTTTAATATTTGTCATAGATAATTTWAAAAACTTTTACTTTTAAAATATATATTAAAAAACATGCAACCAGATTATTTTCACTAAAGTCATGCATTTTGTCTTTTTTTTAATGAATGATAGGACACAAATGGATGATATATTTGTACTGATGCAGATAGATTTATATGATTCAAGCAAGGTATATAGATTCATGTATAGTACCATCTCATTTTTATAAAACCAAATAAATCTGTATCTCTATGTCTCCTATATACTTAGGGAATAAGTTGGATATAAACTCTAAACTTTTTCATTTTTGTTGTTAAATACATTTTTGGTCTGCAATTTTTGCTTTCCTGTTTGCTGTCTTTGGGCACTAACTTTCAAATGCTTCCTTCTAATTTGGTGCTGTCCTTACATGAGGCAGCTTGGCTAGTTGCAGACATACATTTGGGAGACCTTAGACTTTTATGAAGATAGTTTTCTTTTGGAGAATGTGAGGAAGATGTATGATTTATTCTTCTTGCCTTTTTTCTCCTCTTTTCCTCTTGGCAGAGAAAAGACAGTATCAAATGGGAATACATCTTTTTTGGAGAGGCTAGTGCCCAATTTTCAGTCCTTGGGCAACCTAGTCACTCCATTTGTAGAAGCATTATTTTCATTGCTTCTGTAACTGGTAAACCCTCAGTTACATCGAATTGCTAAGAATTGCAGTTCGCAGAGTTAGGACACTGGCAAAATTATTCTGATTTATCTTTTCTTTATAAAGCATTTAGTTTGCCTTATCTGATAACATCCACATCTCATGTGTTCTATTCAGCTTGAAAGCAGCTTTAAAGTATTTGTAGTCCTAGCCCCTGGTACAATATCTGGCATACTTAGAAACTCCCAAATTATTGGGTGAATGATGAATGAATGTTTAGTATTGAAGGTCAGAATTCATCTTCACAGTTTTTTCCTTTTCATCTCTTCATATAAAGATGCTAATTCTAAGTTTTGACTACATTAAAACTTGCAGTGGGCTGGAATGATTGGCTAGTCAACGTGGTTGTAATCTCACAATATTAATCTCCAGTTGTTAAATTGGATGGACAGTGTTTTATGAGATGCCTTCTGCTTCTTTTATGTATGGGCATATAAGTTCAGTTGTTACTCTGACACATCTGGAAATAAATGTAGTAGAGTCCATAATTTTTTAAATATCTCTTTCCTTTTTCCTCTTAGAGCCAAGGGGAAGGATTTAAGAARAACAAATTGTCCTTTCATGATGTGATTTTTTTTTAAAACCTACATAATTCATACTACATTATATATACCTAGTTAGGAGCTCTGTAAATTGAGAAGAAGGAAAAATAACACCTTGGGTCACTTGTGACCGGGTAACACTTACCAGAAATTGTAACAGGACTTTAAATTTTAGAAAAACAGATATGGGAATTTTACCTGGCAGGAATATGTAGAGTGAAAATAGGTTTCATGTACAGACTACTTGTAGAGAGATGGGTAATTATGAAGCTATTGAATGCTGAAGTTTAACTAGACCCATAATTGTCACTATTTTTGAAATTTTTAGTATTTTCCTGGCACTGAGTCTGAAGTACATTATTCCTATCTCACCTACTCTATAAAAGGTATGCTTTTAGTTTATAGATCATATTGATATGCAGACATTGGATGGATGGATTTAAATACAGATAAATCTTATTCCAAAG